CACAAAAACACGTGCGTACGCCTCTCTTCCAGATGTGACATTTATAAATCGCAAATGATCTTGAAATTGTGCGCAGTTGACTGGTGTCAGATCTCCGCCTTGTAAACGCCCCCTAATTAATATCATTACCATATAAAAGAGCACACGCCAATATCCGAATTTCTATGCTTGAGAATGAAGAGCACAAAGAAAAAAAAAAAACTTTACTGAGTCTGAAATTGAGGCGGAGGTAAAGATTCATGCGGGGACGCTTTTTATTTAATAATGTGTAATTATTCTGTGGACAAACAATGTGTGTGTGGTTATATTTTTTCTATTGACTATTATCAAAATCACTACTTCTAGAAACAACAGAAATAATAATAATAGTAATTATAAAACAATTAGGTTTCCAAGAATAAACTACGAATTCAAGTAAAATTTTCAGTCCTCTTATAAAAAGTGAGCCATCCTACTTTTAAAATCACTTGCTATGACAACTAATAAAAAGTTTAATATCACGAAATTCTTGCAAAACTTTAAAAAACATTATAGAAAGAAAAATTGGACGTTTCACATCATAATAAAATAAATTACACGATTATGGTCACAGGTCTGAAAAAACCTGCATGTGATTTGGCATTTGTTTATATTTACACAGTTTACTAATGCTGCTAGGCCTATTCTTATAGGCTACACAGACAAAACAGTCAGAGATGCATTTTTTTTTCTATTTAATGCATTAGTAGTAAATCAAGAGTTTTTGGGTGAACTAACCGTTTAACAGAACAGATATAGAGAAATGCACACTGGTTCTGTAAACATCCTGCTTGTTCTGTAAACATTTGTTAATGTTGCTGCTATCGTAGCCGTGAGCAGTGGTTGTTGAGACTGTGTGGTGTTGTTGTCCTTGTGGGAGAACTTCCCACAAGGACTTCCTTGAGAAGTCATGTGGTCATTCAGACACTGACCAGGTGTGTGTGTCATTCAGGTTGAGTGGATTTGCACACACTGCTGAAGGATGATGAAAGGAGAAGTAGATATAGTCCTCCTGCATGAAGTTTCTTTGGGTGAGCGAGCTGCACGATTAATCGTTTAAAGTTTTCAATCTTTTCCGGTGCATCAAAATACAGTGCCAAAAATACAGTGTGAGAAAAGCTACCAGCTCAGTGAAATAAGATGGCAATTAGAGATGCAACAATTGCAATTTTCTTGGACTATTCCGATTTTTTTGTAAGTGTGACCTGCCGATACCGATTTTTGCCGATTCTGATTTTCTTTCTAAAAACTAGAATTGACAGCATATACAAACAAAAATCTATGCTTTTTTTAATGCAAAAATTTATTTACATAATAAAAATGTTTTAAACATGTAAGGGAAACCGGTCAATTTAGCTCAAAGTGAATCATTTAAGATTTTATAGGGACGGAATCACTGTTATAGGGACAGAATCACTGTTTTACGGCTGATCACTGAGTCGGCCGGCGATTAATTGAATGAGCCATACAACATCAACACTGCATGGATATTAATATCCTATTAGCACAGTAACAAGATCGGCAGTTTAAGACATTAACTTTTAAGCACAAAACACAAGATACTTCTCTTTTCAATATAAATAAGGCTTTATTGGATAAATCTAAGACATATAAACTAATCTAACACATAAACATACACACTCATACATTCACACAAGTTGCAGAAAGAGAAAAAGTGAAGAAAGTATGAGTTTAAGAGAATGAAAATGTGAAATCCCAAGTTTATAGCAATATGTGCAATTGCATAGACCTGAATAACCATCAATCATTTAAGTAACCCTCGCATTGAGTTCCTCAATGAAGCTAAAATTTATATTA